CAGGTGTTTCATGTCAGCTTCTTCCAGGGGTTCAAATGGAGGTCGAGTGAGCCCATCTAAAACCACTGCCAAGTCCCATAAGGGCACCAGTGACCTGGAAACAGGGAGGAGCCTGCGAGCCCCTTTCATAAAACGGCAGACCAAGGGATGTTGGCTAGCCGTCTTTCCCTCAAAGCCCACATGGCATGCAGCAATAGCAGCCAGGTACACTTTGATCGTAGAGAAAGCTCTGTGTTTATCAATCAGGTCCTGTAGAAATGATAGAATCACCCCGACAGGACATTGAAAAGAGATGTGTCCTTTTTGAAGGCACCACTCCTCAAACACCCTCCACTTACAGTCATAGAGGGACCTGGTGGAGGAAGCTCTTGCACTCTGAATAGTGTTTATCACCTTCTGAGGGAGTCCCACTGTATTCAGGTTATACCACTCACGGACCAGGCCAATAGTGTCAAGCGCTCTGGGTGTGGGTGAAAAATCGTCCCCCCCCGCCTGAGACAGTATGTCCCTGCGTAGCGGGAGCTGCCACGGCTGCCCACACAGCAGCTGATATATCTCCGCCAGCCAGTATATTGCAGGCCAGTGTGGAGCTATTAGGATCAGTGTGTGGCGTTGTTCTCTCACTCTGGCCAGAGTTGGGGGTATCAGAGCCAGGGGTGGGACCGCGTACAGAAGGACCGGAGGCCAAACGTGCACGAGCGCGTCCACGCCTAACGGTGCGTTTAAATCATGCATTGAAAAGAACAGCTGACATTGAGCGTTTTCTTTTGATGCGAACAGATCCACCGCGGCCCGGCCGTAACGCACCCACAGCTGACTCACAATTATTGGATGTAGAGTCCAGTCTGCATATAGTGGTGCACCTCTGGACAGCAGATCTGCCCCGAGGTTCATCACTCCTGGTACGTGCGTCGCTCTCAGAGAGAGGAGACGTCCGCAGCTCCATAAGATCAGTTTGTGTGCCAGCATGTGTAACTGGAGAGAACGCAAACCCCCTTGGCGGTTTATATACGATATTGTGGTCGTGTTGTCTGTCCTCACGAGGACATGATGTCCTCTGAGAAAAGGCAGAAAGCGTTTCAGGGTGAGGAACACCGCTAAAAGCTCCAGATAATTTATGTGTGACCGTTGGAGGTCTCTGCCCCAGAGACCCCTCACAGGTCGACCTTCGTATATACCCCCCCAGCCCGTCAGACATGCGTCTGTGGTGACCACCTTCCGCGATAGGACAGCACCCAAAGGCACGCCCCGTACTAGAAAAGTCGGGTGCAGCCAGTGGCGCAGTGCCATTACGCATTTCATAGTGACCATCACTCTCCGCGCGCCATGACGCACGGCGTCCAGTCTGAGGGCAGCTACCCAGCGCTGAAACTCCCTCATGTGTAAGCGTCCCAGTCGTACCACCAGGACGGCTGACGCCATGAGCCCCAGTAACCGCAGACATGATCTGAAGAGAACATATTTGCGTGGCTGGAAATGAGCGAGGCAAGCCCTGAAGGCTTTCACTCTCTCTGCTGACAGGCGGGCTGTAAAGGGCACCGAATTCAGGCGTAGGCCCAGGAAGAGTACAGTCTGGGCTGGAGACAACATGCTATTTTCTGTGTTAATTACGAAACCGAGGTCGAGCAGGTGTTTTACGAGGACATTCGTCTGCGTAATAGCCTCTTGCTCCGACTGTGCGAGAAGGAGCCAATCGTGCAGATAAGTTGCCAGGCGAATACCCTGTTGTCTTAACGGGGCTATCACGGCTTCCGTACAGCGTACAAACACTCGTGGGCTGAGAGACAGACCGAAGGGAAGTACTCTGTACTCGTAACAGACACCCTGAAAGGCGAACCTCAGATATTTCCTGTGTGGATAATATACTGGGATGTGGAAATACGCGTCTTTCAGGTCGACTGACGTGAACCAATCGTTTTGGCGCACGAGACACGCACGAGACGCAAGAGAGATGTGTGAGTGAGCATTCTGAATTTGTATCTTTTGAGATATTTGTTCAGAGCCCTCAAATCTAGTATAGGCCGAATCCCGTTCCCTCCCCGTTTGGGAACGAGGAAATACTTGGAATAAAAGCCGCTCTGACTCTGTCCGGAGGGTATTATAGATATAGCCTTCTTGTCTAGTAGCGAGAGGATCTCTTGCTCTATAATATGGGCCGACTCTCCCCGGGCTTGCAAATGCAGAATGCCCGAAAAGTGAGGGGGGGGTGACAGCGAATTGGAGTCTGTAACCCCGTGTTATTGTCTTGAAAACCCAAGCAGAATCTGTGAGCATCCTCCACTTTTCGCTTCTCAAAGCGAGTGGAGATGTCACATCTCTGTCGTCTGCCTTCTGTGTCTTTATTTGTTGTGTTATGGGGCCCTCTAGTGTCTGAACACGGTGGTACCCCAGGTTGATAACCCCGGTCGACACTGCGCATGCGCGTGGCGGTGATGCCTTCACAGCCCCGTCCATCGTCCGCCTTCTGAGAGAGGTAGCAGCCACTCTTCGAAGGGGGGTAGACGTTAGACTGTTTATTGTTTTTATTGTCTTTCTTTTCATTTTTATTGACTGCGCCCTTGGCTTTAAACCTGGAAACGACAGTGGAAAATTATTTATTAAAAGACAATAGTGATGACATGTGTTTGTGTGACTTAAACGAGCAGCGGAGCTTGCTGTCGTTGATGTTAAGTCTATTTCCCTCATGGCGCGAACTTGAGGATGACGTTCTGACATCACTCGAGGCGGCGGGAAGATGGGAGCATGGTTGCACCCCGGAAACACATGAGCATCTAACACTGGAACGTGTTCTGGAGCTGGAGAACAGGGAACTTCCAGCTCCTTTATCGAGGAGAGGAGAGGAGGCTGTCAGGCCATCCTCTTCTTCTTCCTCGTCTGGTGGCTGAAAGTCTGGTCCGGCTGTGCCTGAGCGGCTGCTGCCGGAACTGGAGACTTTCTTGGCCAGCTCGTCCTCGCCTCGTGTCTTCTTCGAAGCTAGAGCGGAGCCAAATATGCCCTCGGGAACAATAGGCATGTCCAAGACGTCCTCTTTTTCCCGGTCTGGAAGGTTCATCAGGGTAAGCCACCTGGCTCTCTCCTGTACAACCATTATCCCCAGTGCTTTGCCCGTGGATTGGACTGCACAGCGCTGCAAACGGAGGCAAATGTCCGTGATCGCTGCGATTTCGTCCCACACGGCAGGCTCAGGTTTGATGTCATGTCCTCGCAGAGCTCCGCCTGGTCAGCAGCGAGGAGACGTTGAGCACCCTGGCAGACAAAGCTGCGGCTTTATAGGCTCGTTCGGTCATTGCTGACTGGAAGCAGTCTGCCTTTGCCGGTAGCGTGGGGTTCCTGCTCGGTGCCGAAGCCAGCCGCGGTTGGAGGTGGGCTGCCACCAGCGGTTCCATGGGCGGCATGCGGAGCAGGCCGAGCTTCTCCATGTCGACACAGTCCAAAGAGGAGGCACCCTGGATTGGGGCCTTATTGCTGAAAGGGCGGTCTCTCCACGAGACCGACACCTTGTCCAGCATCTCTGGAAAGACTGGGAGAAGCTGCTTCCTCATCCTCGCTGCTTGGGGCAAGTTCTTCCCCTCATAGCGAGATCTGGAGGTCTCCTTGGCCACTTCAGGCCAGGGGATGTCCAGCCTGGACGCAGCGCGTTGGCACACGGTCTGCAAGTCCATACTGAGGCAGGGCAAAGCTGGTGTGCTTTCGCCCGGGGGAGCGGACATCGCGTCCGGCTTGGCAGCCTGGGCAGATGAAACGAAGATGTCATCTTCGTGCTCATCCGAGTCGGATAAGAGGAACCCAGAGGCATCCTCTTCATCCTCCTCCATATAATCCAGCTGTAGGACATCCTTCGCGGGAGGAACCACGGTAAGGTCCAGTTGGGAGCCCCAGCTTGACACAGCGCGGGGCTCCGCTCTCGCGGCTCTTGCCGCCACCGGGCCCCAGCCTGACACGGCGCGGGGCTCCGATTCCGCGGCTACCGCCGTTGTTGAGCCCCAGCCTGACACAGCGCGGGGCTCAATCTCTGCGGCGGTCACCACCATGTCCCGATTGCCGGCCGGCGAATCAACGGACATGAAGGGGTCCCGTCCCGACAGGCTAGCTTGGCGCGCTAGCCGTCGGCGGAGGCTCTTGATGGTGAAGCGGCACAATGCCCACACGAACCGGGGGTATCGATAGCTTCCTGGGCGTGTTCCAGCCCAAGGCAGGACGAGCAGACCTGGTGTGAGTCCGTGCCCGAGATCCTAAACCTGCAGCCGCAGAGCCGAGCCTCCGACTCCTCTGGTGTGAGGGAGAGAAGGGTCCATCCTCGTTTGCCGGGGTGTTGGCGCGGAGGGACAAGCTAATAACAGGTATGTTACCGAAAAAAAATCCAACCTTATCGTTATTCCGAAAGGAAAAAACGACGGGGTATATTTTTCTTTAAAACATATTAACTGGTGTGTTAATATCTTTCTTATCTCCGTCTCCTCTGGTGTGAGGGAGAGAAGAGTCCGTCCCCGCTCGCCGTGGTGTCGGCGCGGAGGGATAAATTAGCAACAGGTATGTTACTGTTTGAAGAAAAAATCAAACCTTACCGTTATTTAGAAAGAAAAAACGGCGGGGCAGATTACAATATTAACTGGTGTGTTAATATTTGTTCAATTCTTCTGCAAAGCAAAAAAGTAACCGGCAAGCGCCCGTCGACCGAATGTTAGCTTGGGTTCAGTCTGTGGCTCGTTAAGCTAGCCCGGCTACTGATATTCGAGATGTGCTCTGAAGCGAGAAGAGGTGTTTGAATGACGCTGCGTCGTAGCGCAAGCTACTTAAAGGGTGGGTGGATTCCCTGACGTAGACGTCAAGATCACCAGCCAATCAGGATTGGCGTAATGAGATTGATGCTTCTGTTTGCATACGCGTTGAGGCGCATCCCATAGTGAGACATCGAACGGAGTGTTATGAATGAGAACTACCCCAGTTCCTAAACTGTAATGGAAGCGCAGCATTAAAGTGAGCCGGGCCTAATAAGGCCTAACCAAACCGAGCGAGGCCGAGCAAGGCCGAGCAAGGCCGAGCGAGGCCTGCAGTGGAAACGCGCCATGCTTAATTAACAACACAAGAATTCAAACAAAAAAAGTAATACAAAATCACACTATTGAATCTGACTTAATTAGAGATTCTCCTGAAAATGTATCATAAAGGAGTCCAACTTGTCTTTGTGCTTCTGTTTCATATTACTCAAGGAGGTCAAGGCTCGTTCCTCAAATCACAGGAGGCCATTCACAGCCCTTCATTCTGCTCATGTCCTGCAGAGGATAACAGCAATACTTCGGTTAAGGCAAAGTTCCTGTTTTCATCATCATTTCACGATGTCTGAAACCTATCTTCAGGTTGGAGAATATCTCAGGATCGGATTGTAAGGACAGGGTCTGTAAAAAAGTGACAAAACACATCAATGTGTTTTTATTCAGGCATCTCCAGGAACAACAGTTACTTTTCAAACTTATTGTGCATTCCATTACTCAAACTATTATAGTAATTAGTATGCCTGAAACAAATCTAGCATGTGTTCCAAAAGTTCCAAGATGTCCTAATATGTACCCACAATCCTTTGTGCAGGGGTTATATGATCAAAAGGGTACATTTTATGAAAAAGTCATAGGTAACCATTGTAACATACTGCATGCAACAGTACATACTAAAAACTATAAATAAAATGTATGCGATTTGGAACGCAGAAATCGTATCTTTTTGAAAGAGTTGTAAAATGTAAGGAGCTCTTGCATATATACACAAGTTGGAATTTCTGCACTACATTGAATAAGATGCAAAAAGGCCAACACTGTCTAAATGATACTCTTTTATACTTTAAATCTAAAGTTGGGACCTGAAATAGAGAGAAGTGTCTCCAATAGTGACCATGTTGATATCTGTAAGCTAAATAGAGAGAGTATGGCGGACACAAATATATCTGCTGCAGCTTTTTAAACACTTCTAGAGGGAAATTAAATGGTCACTTTAGATAGGCAGGTCAGTCAGCAAAAAATAAATCTCCATGTGTCTTATGAGCAGCAATTTAGTTTACATCCATAAGATTGGCTTTGTAGAGCTTATTTTGAGTGTTGTCTGCAGGGAAACTTTAACTACAGCATTCTATAAAACAAATACAATTTATTATTTTACATTTTAAAAAGTGGAAAAGCCAGTTGAGGTCAGGATTATTACAGTGTGGGTCCATGTTCCACTTTTCAACTCTAAGTAACAGCTTCCTCCCAGTGTTTCATTCAAATGCAATTACATACGTAATATTTTCAGCAGGCCCACTTTTAAGTCCATGACCTGAAACAAACGGAGGAAGTGAATCTTAATCCAAAAAGTAACATCAGTTTTGCATTTGGTTGCGTGCAAAGAGTGTCTCCATTTAGGCTTGTTATGTAAGGGTAGGCTGTAATCTGTTATATAATGTAACGGAGTAAGTGAAATGGGCTGCGCCTACATTTGGTAGCTTGCAAGATTTGTTTATCCTCTAACAGAATTGTTTGTGCTCTTTAACATTTGTAATATACATTAAGTTAAAATAAAAACATTTCTTACATACTGTTAAATTAACCCTTAAATTCTGGATTTACATCAGATATAATGGTGAGATATAAATATCACAATGGTCATGCTTTTAAATAAAGGCAAAATATGCGTAATTTTTTATAAAGAAAATACTGCCTCAGATCTGTTTTAGATATGCGTCAGAAATATATGAATTCCTAAAAAATCTGCAGCTGTCTATGAAACGACTAAATGATATATTAAAAAATCTTAGCCTACAGCTCACCGGGACATTCGTACTTGTGGTACTAATATCCAGGACACACACTATACTTCAATATACTATACAAAATATATATAGAAATTTTTATTGATTGGGATAAACCCCTTGAGATGCACCATCTCGTTTTCAAGGGGGTCCCGACAATAGCAACAACTTACAGACATACATAAACAAAAAAACAAAATGCAAAACATGACACACAAGACAAACCACATACAGTCTGTTAAGTAAAATTCAAGCAATGCATACAATCATTACAATTTGAGACAGTCGAGCAAATCAGTTTCATCAATATCAGTTTCATTAATAACAAGTGCAGACCAGTTGAAAGTGAGATGATAATGCATGTTTAAACATACCCAATGATGCAAAAGATCTAATAGCAGCTGGTAAAGTATTCCAGTCTATTGGGGCTTTGAACATGAACGCTCTACTGCCAATCAATTTTTTTGCAGAGGGGACAGAGAAATAAATCTGAACAGAATGTCTAACTTGATGATTTGGTGAGTAGGGTACAAAATACTGCTTTAAATAAGGGGGATAGTTAAGATACATGCATTTAAATATCAGCTGAAGCCAATGCGTGGCCCAAAATGGCACACTGACACACTGCACATGCCATACATATCACACCTAGAGGACAGGAAACGCAGAACATGTCATTTATTATTGACAGATAAGTGCCTTTGCACCTCTGGCCATACTGATGTTTATTTCAAATAAACACAAACTGAATGCTGCTGCACTTCCTGTGTACCAGAGGCTGTTTGCTGGGAAACATTGTGTGTATTCGTTTAACTGATTTAACTCCAGTATCTAGATGAAAGTAATGGCTACTTGAGGGGACATATTTATTGTAATTAACCTCTAGGTCTATAAAATGTCAGAATAATGATAAATAGATAATTCAAAGCTCATTACCTTCTCAATCCCAGGTTAAGTCGTCAGATTGCTTCAGCTGTCGGTCAAAAACCGTCAAACCCCAGAATTCAAAACTGCTTTTCCTAAGATAAGAAAAAAAAGACGTATTTAATCAATTTTAAAACATTTCGTCAATTAGTTTTGCTCATTTATTAAAGCCTACTTAGACTATAACAAATATTTTCTAATTTAAAATGATTTTCTTTCAATAAGTGTGATTCAGAGGGACCATTGAATGAGCATACCACATTTTACATTTAAAAAACTGCCAGTCAAACAGGGATTTCTTTTCAATATGAAAAGTTATATTAAAGGAGTTTGTAGCTCTATTGGAAGTTTATTGGATTTTGTCCTGGGATCTTTTTTAATTTTTTTGTAGAAAATGTGACACTAATATACAGGGCCGTCCCTTATACAGGAAGATCACGCAGACTGCGTGGGGCCTCACCTCGCGGAGGGAGCCTCATCTTGTGGAGGGAGCCTCATCTTGTGGAGGGAGCCTCATCTTGTGGAGGGGGCCTCATCTTGTGGAGGGGGCCTCACCTCGTGGAGGGAGCCTCATCTTGTGGAGGGGGCCTCATCTTGTGGAGGGAGCCTCATCTTGTGGAGGGAGCCTCATCTTGTGGAGGGGGCCTCACCTCGTGGAGGGAGCCTCACCTCGTGGAGGGAGCCTCATCTTGTGGAGGGAGCCTCACCTCGTGGAGGGAGCCTCATCTCGTGGAGGGAGCCTCATCTCGTGGAGGGAGCCTCATCTTGTGGAAGGAGCCTCATCTTGTGGAGGGGGCCTCACCTCGTGGAGGGAGCCTCATCTTGTGGAGGGGGCCTCATCTTGTGGAGGGAGCCTCATCTTGTGGAGGGGGCCTCATCTTGTGGAGGGGGCCTCACCTCGTGGAGGGAGCCTCACCTCGTGGAGGGAGCCTCACCTCGTGGAGGGAGCCTCATCTTGTGGAGGGGGCCTCACCTCGTGGAGGGAGCCTCACCTCGTGGAGGGAGCCTCATCTTGTGGAGGGAGCCTCACCTCGTGGAGGGAGCCTCACCTCGTGGAGGGAGCCTCAACTGAGCCGCAAATGCGTCGACGCTCGGGAAACAGAGGGCCTCATCATCTAACTTTGCGTGGGGCCTTAAGTTGGCCAGGGACGGCCCTGCTAATATATTTTGGCGCTTTCTTTATTTTTTTGTCAATATCACAAATCATACATGAAAGTTAATTACAATTTTATATTTGGAAGGAAATTAACAATCTGTGCATTTTAGGAAGACTGCGGTTTATTATTTTAGAAATGTTATTAATTTCTTTAATTCTTTATTTATTTATTCCTCATTGTAAACACACACACCAGATAATCCAGTGTGGTGTGTGGAGGGAATCGGATAAAACGGGACAGTCTCATTATCTAAACTCAAAGCAAAACTATAGAGTTTCTATACACTATAAAAATGTTGTTCCAATTGTATTTCCTTAACTTTAAAGAGCTTGTATTAATTTTCAACTATTCAGCTGTAGGATACTAAACACCAGCTTTTTTTAATGAGCAGTATTAAAGTGGAATCTGTCTGTAACACCACAAGCTGTTAATCAGCACTAGCAGTTAGCCGTTAGCTTTTCAACCTTTAGTTACATATTGTAATATATGAATAAATAATTTGTTGTTATTTCGGTAAACAAATAAGAAACCCCGCATGAAGGTGTTCAACAAAAGGGACGCGTTTGTCTTTAGTAAGTTTGTAAAAAAAAACAAGATGAAGTAAGTTTAAAAAACCGAGGTTTAATTTTGTGGATTATACAAGAGAAAAAGAGAAGTGGTGAGAGAGTTTGCTCTTCATCATCAAGAGAAATTGTATCAAATAATTTTGCATTAACACTTTCTATGACGCCTATGTGTATAATTATCTTTAAAACACTTATAATATGCTTAAAGCACAGTTTAATTATAAGCCCTAATGAAAAGCACTATAATGAAATAACAACGTAAGCTATCATTATTGCCACTTGACATCTGTTTGCAAGGACAATAGTGTGTAATTGTTCATATAGTTGCAGTACATTGTAATAATTTTAAAATGCATTATAGTAATATACTATATGTAGCACATTCATATACTGTACCATCATTTAACTAACAATGTTTATTATGCATTATAGAGGGGGGGCTTGCAAAATAAGTCAGCGAGTGAGCAGCAATTATGATTGAAAACTGTAATTAAGCATTATTTATTGTATAGTGTCTTATAATTACACAGTTCTTAAGGATTATTTAACATTATGTATGTTAAATGAATTACAGGTCGTCATAGAAAGCAGTGAGTGAGTCAGAGAGGAGTCATCTGATCAGACTGAATCTCATTCTGTCAGAAATGCTGTTTCTCTGCTGAGGATATTTTTGGCTCTCCACAGAGATGCACAGAGAAGAAGAGAGGAACAGAGTGACGGCTGTCAGAGGGGGAGAGAGAGAGGCTTTCAGAACTCCCCCCGGCAGGCAGTGTGTGAGATCTGGGGCCCCGTGGCCCTTTGGATGGCTCACATTGAATGGGTGCCCTGGCGAGGTGACCAGGCTCTTTGAGAGCAGGTTACGAGGGGAAGGGAATGCTTTTGCTCTGCGTTTGGCCCCTGACCCACTGTCCAACGTCTGCCTTGGCTGCTTTGAAACCCAACATATTTATTTGCGTCGCTCTGAAGAGAGAGGGTGGAGCGGCTGTCAGAATAAAGTCATCGTCCTGCTGACAGCTTCATCTGCCGTTGAAGACAGGCGCACAATGTCGCAGCGCCGGCCAGCTCGGGGCGAAGGACTGTCATCTGTGGACACGCTGGGAATCTCCCCTCCCTCCACTGTTCCCAAGCTCCCTGGATACGGCAGAATTATTTCCTTGGCCCTGTTCGAAATGTGTTTTATCTCAGTGTACAAGGATGTCGACAGGGTAACATGTGGGAACCTCCTTTGCTGGGATTCAGGGAGGCTTTTGTTGGTTTCATAATTAAGAAGGAGGGAAAACATCAAGCAGTAACGCATTCAAGGCATGCCTAGTAATACATTTTGTTTATTTAAGACAAATGTTTTGTCTATTGCTGATAAATCAATGTACGCTGGGTGATATTGAGAGATTTTTCTGAGGATTTGATACCAGTTAAAGCAAATCAATCTGTCACACAGGCCAAACAAAGTCTTGTCTTGACATGACATTTAAATTAGCTGGTTTATTAATCTTGGTTGGCTGCACAACGAGGAACACCAGCCAATAATTCACAAAAATATATATAAAAAAACACTTTAATATCAGCTTCAGTTGAAAATTTGCACTGCTTTTCTTAATGTGCATCTTTAATGATTTTCATTTTGGTGGCAAAATAAGAGGTTTCAATTGCCTTTAACCTGTTAAGCCCTGAGCCTGTTTTCCAGCTCTCAGGCTTGAAAATGACATTCCCAGAACAAATGACCATAACTTCACTTCTAAAAGGGGTAAATTAATAATATTTGTTCTCAAAGCAATGATAAACATGTGAGTTGGATGTAGAAGAGTCAGAATCAATATAGATTTTTTTCATTTGAAAGTTAATTCAGATTGAACATAGTAATTTAAAAAAAAAAAAAAAATTCCGACTGTCCGTCCAAAAAAAACCCATTACTTAGTGAAAACCACCCTTGAATGATGGGATAGTAAACAAAGAGCTTTAGGAATCCAAACTATAACATATAATAAGTACCCTGTATCAAGATTGATGCAAAACTAGTGAAATTTGACCTTTATAGAGATTTAGCAAACAAAACCCACTTCTGGGGTCATTTGGGTGGATAGAGAGGCGAAGTCCCTCCTCTTCCGGTGGACCTCCATGGGACCTTATTTCGGAAAAATTATGTATTGAAGTCAATGGCGAGAGAAACGTTATCTTTCGATCCCATTTGAATTGTGCCACGAATTACACATATGATGTTTGTCAATTTAAAAGATAATTTTGCAAGTAAAAAAAAACTTTGAAGTAAGACTTTTTTTGTGTGAAACCGCTCAATGAACTACATCTCTGGTCTCGCACAACAACACACGTCACCAAGATGGCCGTCACTACTGTCTTGCCAAAAAAGGGATTGACTACCCTCACTATCACCACAATGAAACACGTCCAGAAGAATGTCATGCAAAGCTGCCTGCCTGCCTTCGATTCTCCCTGAACTGCCTGATCTTTTTAATGTAATTTGTGCAGATAGCATGAAGTAATAAAAGATCGCCGATGCTAATGTAGCGTTAGCATGTCTCCCTTGGGGGCATCCGGGCTTAAAGGTGTAGCCTATTATAGAATGATCACACCGGTGTGACAGTACTCTTCAAAGGGTTCACGAAATATGACTACTACTATACTGTTTAACACTTTGGTTAACTTAATGTTACTTCATGTTAAGGCTAATAAAAATGACAAGGCTAAGCCGGCTGTAATGCTAACTAACATGCTAGCTACTAGCTAGGTAGCTAACTTGATCCAGCCAGCCACACCTGGTCCTTTCATCAGACGGGAAGCGAAAGAACGAGTAAGACCCATTGCTGGTATGATTACATCCTGGTACAAAGCACACAGGCATATTGTTGAAGTTATCTTAGCTATCTCTTATATTTAGTGGAGGAAAACAATTATGACATCACTTACGCGACTCTGGGATTTGTAGTCTTTCTAGTTGCGTATTTTTCATAGTCTTATATTTCAACAGTTTTACGACAAACTCTGACTTTTTTGACATGGAAATAATTTTTTAAGATTGACAAACATCATAATATGTGTAATTCATTGCATAATTCAAACGGGATCGAAAGATACGTTTTCTCTCCCCATTGACTTCAATACATAATTTTTCCGAAATAAGGTCCCATGAGGCGGAAGTAGAAGGGTCCGGGACTTCGCCTCTCTATTTGACCTATCTCTGGCTGAGATTGACATCTCTTTTTAACCGTTAGAGCTAGAGGTGTAACGGTTCACAGAAGTCACGGTTCGGTTCATACCTCGGTTTGGGGGTCACGGTTCGGTACGGGTTCGGTACAACAGTAGTGCAAGTTTTGGTATGGAAATAAGGAACTCTAACATTTGGAATCATTAACTGTATTACACAGTTAAAAACAAACCACAAACAGTAACACACACACACACACTCAGATGGCCATATTATTTATATTGGCTGATATCAAACAAAAAGGTTAAATAAGCTGTACAACTAAAAATAATGTCTTGAACATATTAAAATAAATAATAAGAAAATAAAATCTGTATACCTTTAGGAGCAATGTCTAACATGTGTAATTAACTTGTGAGTGTGTGAGGCCATTATGCCTAAATAAAGGTACTCAAGCTTTACTCTATTTTCAAGTTGTTCTTCAAAAAGATGAGTTTGTCTACGTTGTCAGTAGTGAGGGCAGATCTGTTGGCGGTAACTATGTCACCTGCTGTCGAGAAAACCCTCTCGCTGGGGACTGAGACTGACTCGGATGTGATTGAGCATGTTTGACGTGTTACCACTAGCATACCGCACCGCTGTCGAACAACGCCGACACAGCGTCCTCGTCCGATCCACAACCCGCACCCCATCATTGTTGTAGTCGACAGGGAACCCGAAATGTTCCCACACAGCTGATTTAAAAGAAGCAGGTGGGTCTTCTAGCTGTGTGTTGTGTGAACTCGCCATAGCTAGGCTACTACATTTTCTTCTTCATATATTGTGTTCGTTTTGTTGTGTTTTGTTCTTGTTCTTCATTTGTTATTTACGGGCGGCTGGCTTTTAGGCGCAACACCGCCCCCCTGGATTATATATAGTGTAATACTACCCTGAGTGACAGACTTTTTTCCCACTCGTAAAAAAAGGCGTATTCGCCGTGTGACTGCATGTGCCGAACCGTGACGTCTGAATCGTGACGGTACGGGACGAATACGGATACCGTTACACCCCTAGTTAGAGCCAATGGAATCGAGGGGAGGTTCCACATACACACACACGTTACCAAATAAGGAGTGAGAGTGACGCGTAGCCAAAACAGGAAGCTTGTCATACACTCTGCAAGCTATCATTAGTAGCTAATATGAAAACTCTGTTTTTGACATAAAAATTGAATTATGGATTATCAAAAAAAAATCTAAGTGACACACACATTGGATTAACCTATGGATTAACCTTCAGCCGCGTTTTTCTCGTTTTAATGCCATTGAACACAACTTTTGATCAGAATAACAGCAAAAGGTGAGCATATCTCCGTGTTTTTCTACCTGAAGCTACGTTGTGTGTTGTCTGTATTTGCTTCCCCTGTCGTGAGTTTTGATCGCTCAGTGATGATACTTATATTTCTAGAATCTGTGAAATCTCAGCTTGCCAGCTATAAGATATACCGATAAGTATATCGATCGATTTATACCTAGAGTTCTGTGCTAAGTGCTTTAGCATTTTTTCGCTCAGGGCTCATTTAGACGCTTCTTGTGAGACTTGTGTTTTGTTTCGGTAAAAATGGTTCACATTATCAGTTAGCAGAGTTTCTTCCTGTTAAGGGAGTATGACACATTAATAGTTTATTAAATGTTAAGAAGCCCTGAGACACAGTTTCGTGAAAAAAGCCTGTAGACCCCGCTATGGGGCTTTTAAGTGTTAGTAATTAATGTCTCTGATATCAGAAATTACAGACTGGGATTTTTCTTAATCGACTGCATGGCATGAGGTATCACCTGACAGCAGAGCGACCTCCTCTACAGGTAATAGTCTGAGCGGTGCTGCGGGCAGGGCCGGTCCTTAGCATTGGCGTTATAGATGTTCGCCTAGGGCGCCAGATCTGGGGGGGCGCTGTGCTGGCAGCTCTGGGAGGGAAAAAAACATTTTTGACCGTTGGTGCTCATCTTAATTTTCGGCCTTGATGTAACAATATTCATAATTAAGTAAATGTAACACCCTTTTCACCCCAGTTACACTTTTCATTTTCCCTGTACGATGGGCACTGTAAGTGATGAAAGTGGGGGATGTTGGCTTATCAGGCGCCCGCAGCTCACAGCAAAAGTGCGAGTGAGCGTTGGAGGAGCGAGGGAGAAAGAGAGAGGGCGCACCGCCCGGTACCGGCGCTGTTGTTATTATAATCTGGTGCTAGCTGCTCTAACGAATATAAGAAGAAGATGTTTCTATAATAATGTGGAGGGAGAGTCCTGTCCAGTCAGACTGAGCAACACACTCTCACTCCCTAAGCGTCCAGGAGCGACGCTTGGTCAGGGTCCCGTGGCGTCCAGTTGTGACACGCCGAGACTCCTTCAGCTTCATAAATGGACGCAAAGAGCTTTCAACTGATTGCAATGTATTCCCATTGGTGGCGGTATTTGACGCTTAGGGTTAGGGTCTATATATAATACCTTAAAGCGGACAAAAGGCACAGGAGAGCCGGTATAATTCCAAGTGCGAAAACAAAATAAAAATTGGAATACGTTATTTTAGTGTCTTAAAAGTAGACTGAGGTATGAAGGGTCAACGTTACATCTTAGGATAATTTGTAGCCATGTTCTGTATACATACTAACATATAAGGGTATACTTAGTGTGGTTACTCCATGTTTACTAGCTATAACATTAACGTTACATCACTCTTTTTCACTTCTTACTCAGTCAGCCACAGTGCAGATATCACCATTAGATTCACAAACCTGAAACATCATCCATTTCTTCACTGCTGGTGATGACATTGTTGTCAGCTGCTGATACTGCTGCTGCTGCAGCTTGTGGCGCCTGCTTCGATGACAATAACTTTCTAATATCCATAACTGTATAGGCTATTAGCTTAAAACTTGTCAGGCACTAGAAAGTATCACTTCTTCTTCAGGGCAGGCTACGCAGTGTACGCAGTACGCAGGCTAATGTCCCGCAGCGGCTGCCTCTCTGGTGGACTCCGGTACTGCACATTACTCCCGAGACGTTTTCAAAATAAAAATAAAAAATAAAAAAAGATGTTTGTTGAATAATGTTATTTGATGAACAAAATATTAACAGTACATACTTTGATAGGGGGAAAGTAGAAGGTCAATGATATAAATATAGAATATAAAAAATCAAGAAGATACTGTTAGTGATCTCTACAATAAAACAGTTTAGTGCACGATGTACAAAGATATGAGGATGTGCAAAACAGACAAACTAATTAACCTTTATTAACACATTACAGAATACTTTAGGTTAATGTCTTCTTTCAAATAAGAAAAAAGCTTTGGGGGTATCTATCTACAGATAAATATTAAGCCTGACAAAGTACTTAATGTCTAATATATTGCTTTCCTGCAATGTTAACTATGTTGAAGCACTTATTTTAACTGATATTATACTCTTATGTATGTAGATAGTATAAGAAATGTGCAGAATTTGACAGTTTAATGGTGGAGGTATACACACATATTGATAGATGTCTTGTAATGCACTGTTGAGGAACCTGCGACCCAAGTTTTTCATTCATTGCATAACTACACTGTAGTTGTGTATATGATGTCAATAAATCTTAGAAAATCTTGAAATCTTGAAAGGGATGTGCAAAATAGCAATTATATACAGTTTTTAATGAACTATTAATAGAGAATAACGATTAATGAATATACTTTATAGAGATCTGCAGATAAATGTTTAGTCTTCTCAAGCACCAACAATCAAATATCTCTCCTGATTGTTGGCACTTGACAATCACCTTTCCCTGAATTTTACTCAGGTGTAACTAAAGTCTGCTTTAAGGGTTGTTTATATTTCACATCATTAATCAGAATCTGCAAAGTAACTAAAATAAATGTAGTGGAGTAAAAATATCAGGTTAAGCTCTGAATTGTAGTGGAGTAGAATTACAAAGTAACAATGAGCTGTCATGTGGGTATATATTAATGCTGCCCATTATGGATACAAGCGATTTTCACCCATTTAGTAATTACATGTTTTAAATTCGTACACACCAATTTGTTTCCTATCGCCTAAACCTCCAGTGCTGTAGTTACACAGTTTACTGTCAACTTCTAATTTTGTGGAAAACGTCTTTTAAAACTACATTTCCCAGTAGAGACGTGCCATAGAGAACATGTTGCGAAACACAATAGCCAGCATGTGTAGTTCTCGGGGGTGTTCGAGTCCAGTTTTGAATAGTCTGCCGTGGTTTTGTTCCATTTTAAAGAGCTTGACGCTCGGCGTAACCTTGGCGCACTGCCACTCCAACATCCAATCCCAGAGCTTGAAGATTAATCACGGGGTTTGTCGCAAAGCGGACAGACGCCGTCACAACCAGGGACGTGCACAGGTACGGGCTAATGTTGCCCGGGCAACTGCCCGTTTGGCCTTTTTGGCTGACCTGCCCCTCTGGAAAGAGCGAGAGTTTGTTTTTATTTTTTCTGTTGTGGCCGAATCAACATGATAAGCCCACAATTAGTATCGTAGCGTCTCGCTGCGGGAAACACACTTTGTCAGCGCTGTCATCTGCCGGTGCGTTAAGACCACCTCAGTGTCGGATTTTGGAAACTTGCTTTTGAGTTGTCTCATGGCAGTTGGGGTATAAGGGACAAACCAGGGGACTTTACTTCCTCTTGATACCGTCGGTTATTTACAAAAAAAACACCTAAATATAGCCTACTTGTTGTAATTGTGCTTCTGTCTTTCTATGTCTTTTCATCTGTAAACTCCCTCAACGGGGCCGCTCGCTCTCTTTTCTTGATCGCCCTCTCACGGGTGAACAGTTCACTGTCCCGCTTCATTGTAGGATTTCTGCCATGTCTACCACTTTAGTTTGACCATCTCTGTTATTAAGTTATGGAATACTAAATAAATAAGTAATTAGATACCTTACCGTTACTGTCTGTGCTCATAAAGAATGATAAGAATAAGAATAATGCGTATTGAACTGGTTTAATTAATTAGTGAGTTTATTTAAGGTAATTAGTTAGAGGCCCTATTTTATCAGTATGTCTGGACTGCACAGCAGTTACAATGGTCAAACTAAATTAGAACAGAATTGTTCTCATTTTGTCTTTAATAGTTACTAACATTAGATATTTTAATGAGATATGGACCGCAAAACAAAAAATGTCCCTGGTTTTCATTTTTAAAAACAAGTTACCGAATGCAAGTAGTCGCCTTAGCTTATTTTGTTATGAGATGTGAATTACTGTTCAATTTAGTTGATGTAATAATAGTTTGGTTTCTTTTACATTAAAAACAAGTTACAATTTTCAAAAGGTCTTTTTATCGGGGGGGAGGCCCTTTTTCCAGTTTAGAGCAATAGCCCCTCCAAATGTCTGTGCACGTCCCTGGTCACAACAATAGCTGCGGATTGTGGGTAGTGTAGTCTCTTTGGTGCTCCACATTTCAGAGAAAACAAGTTGTTTCTCAGAATTGAAGGGAAAAACACAAAAGCATTGTACACTATTTAAACCTATCAATGTTGTTTAATTAACAAATATAATCTGGTGCTTTTGAGTTGATGAGTAGTGGAGATATCACTGTCAAATCAATCGACAGTAAGGAGAATACTTACTTCCGGGTGTACAATTATCCGTTGCCTTTAAGTGCTGCCAACATAAATGGATGCAGTGCTTCCCTAAGCGTCAAATACCGCCGCCGATGGGAATACATTGCAATCAGTTGAAAGCTCTTTGCGTCCGTTTATGAAGCTGAAGGAGTCTCCGCGTCACAACTGGACGCCACGGGACCCTGACCAAGCGTTACTCCTGGATGCTTAGGGAGTGAGAGTGTGTTGGACTGAGAGGCTCAGTGAGGTAAAGGACTCTTGAGTGTTTAGATAGTTCTGTCAGGATTCTCATGTTTTGTCACGTTTGTAGTTTTGTATGTCTGGTTACGGGTATTTTCCTCCTTGTATATTGTCTGGTCCTTCTTCCTGTGTTTTCCCCCTGTCGTTAGTTTCCCTGGTGTGTCTAGTTGTCTGATTGTGTTCACCTGTGGCCCTTGTGTTTCTCCTCCCCTGCCCGGCTGTTTCTCGTCCTGTGATTACCCCTCCCTGTATTTAGTCTGTTCTCTTCCTGTGTTCAGTGTTCGTCTTGTGTCATGACTAGTTTGTCGGTGAGTGTTCTGTTTTGTCTTTCTTTATATCCCTAGCCTTGAAATAAAGGAGTTTTTTTTCAGTTTATATCTACATTTGGGTCCTGCTTCCAACATACATCGTAACACTACGAACCAACCAACAAATGGACCCAGCAGATCAGGGCTCGCAATTAACGATGTCCCGGGGACCATACAAATTCCTACTGGGACACAAATCTATTTTGTCTGGGACTATTTCGGGACAGTGAAAAAAAAATTAAAAGTAAACTTGAAAATGGGTGTTATTTGCAAAGTCATTGGGCTGTCAAATCATAGAATACATTCTACGTCATCCACTCTGCTGCTGACTGCTGCTAGACGAGCGCCAATGCAACGGTCACGACGGTTAAAAAAAGAAGAAAGAAATGCTGAGGTGGTTGAATAAACAGCCCCCTGATGCAAGCCCCAATTCTGCCGACTCCCGAAACGAAAACATCCCAAGTCCTGGTCATGATGCATCGTCTTCCACTGTGGTAAGTTAGTTGTCTTAAGTCACTTAAGACAACTAACTTACCACAGTGGAAGTGGAAGTGCTGGAATTGGGCCGGTACTCACCGGTACGCAGTACCGGCACTTCTGGTTCTGACCCATGGAGTACCGGCACTTCTTGCTCAGTACCGGCATGCTGGCGGTACTCCGGTACTCATGCACCGTGCCAGTACTCAACACTTTCCCGCCGTTCTTATTATAGTGTCAATGTTAGCTAGC